GCCTCCCCTCTGCCGCCCTCTGTACCTGCAGGAAACTGTGCGGTGCTGAAGCCCTCAGAGATTAGCAGGACCCTCGAGAAGATCCTGGCCAAGGTGTTGCCCCGATACCTGGACCACGTAAGGGTGGCCAGCCCCATCAGTGCCTGGCACCCCCGTGTCCTGCCCTTGCCAGCAGGTGGGGTACCTCTGAGCCTACATCCCACCTGAGCCTGCCCACCTCCGCCTGCCCCCTCTGCAGAGCTGCTTCGCAGTGGTGCTGGGTGGACCCGAGGAGGCGAGGAGACGGGGCAGCTGCTGGAGAACAGGTTCGACTACATCTTCTTCCCAGGTGAGAGTGGCTCAAGAAGGGTTGTGGGGTGCAGGGAAGGGGTGCAGGGAGGGACAGCGGAGAACAGGGAATTGGAGAGGTGGTGGAGGAAGCCGTGGAGGGAGGAGGACCACCAGGGAAGGCGGGTGTGGCAGGCCAGGACTCAGGCAGAGAAGGTGCTGCGGAGGGGAAAGGAGCAAGAGGCAGTTTCCTGGACCGTGTGACCCAGGCCGATAGGGGATGGGGGTCCCCTCCGTGTCCCCAGGAAGCCGCTGCGTGGGCAAGATCATCATGGCTGCCGCGGCCAAGCACCTGACTTCTGTCACGCTGGAGCTGGGGGGCAAGAACCCTTGCTACATGGACGACAACTGACCCGCAGACCGTGGCCAGCCGCGTGGTCTGGTTCCGCTGCTTCAACACTGGCCAGACCTGCGTGGCCCCCGACTACGTCCTGTGCAACCGCGCGAGACGCAGGAGCGGCTGCTGCCCGCCATGTAGAGCGCCATCACCTGCTTCTATGGAGAGGACCCCAAATGTTCCCTGGACCTGGGCCGCATCATCGGGGAGAAGCAGTTCTGGAGGCTGCAGGGCCTGCTGGGCTGTGGGCGTGTGGCCATTGGCGGCCAGAGTGACGAGAGCGAGCACTACATCGGTGAGTCCTGCCGGCGGGGCCTGGGGGTGCAGGGGGAAAAGGGGTGCAGGGGTGAAGGGGGTACAGGCATGTAGGGGAGTGCAGGGTGGTACAGGGGGATGCAGGAGAACACAGGGATGCGGGGGCACAGGCTCTGGGTGCTGAGGCTCTTCTGCGCTGGAGAGCTCACAGCGGGCCACACGCTGTCCAGAAGAAACCTCAGGTCTGGAGCTCCCTTGGCCCCAGTGCCGTGATTCCCCAGTTCTAGCGTGCCTATCCCCCCAGTCCTCCCTGGAGCACCGCTTGGCCTGGAGCCCTGGGACCTGTGACCCTCGGCCTCCTGGGTACCGCAGTGGGTGGGTTCTCCGGCCTGAGCTGAGCGCGCCCTGTGCTGCAGCCCCCACGGTGCTGGTGGACATGCAGGAGACAGAGCCGGTGATGCAGGAGGAGATCTTTGGGCCCATCCTGCCTACCGTGAATGTGAAGGGCCTGGACGAGGCCGTGGACTTCATCACCTGGCGTGAGAAGCCCCTGGCGCTGTACGCCTTCTCCAACAAGAGCCAGGTGCGGCTCCAGGGACAGGGGGTAACAGAGGGGCAGAAAAGGGTGAAGACGGGGACCTGCCCTGCCCCAGCCCACCCTGGGAGACCATGAGTATAGTCCAGGCCAGCCAGTACAAGCATGTGCTGCACAGAGGCACCTGGCAGAGGCGTCCTCCAGGTGCAGCCCGCCAACTGTCTGCCCTGGCCAGAGGAAGAGGTGCCCCTTCTAATGGGCTTTCCCAGAGAGGCCCCTTTTCCTATGTCGTGCAAAGGTTCTATACGGGGAGCAGCAGCCCAGCGTGGAGTAGGGGCAGAGCCGGAGGTTGGGAGGGTCGGTGCATTGCTTACTGCTGGCTAACCTTCATGCCATGTCCTGTGGTCTCGGGCCCACCCTCAAGGTTGCAGGGTTTCCTCCACCTCTGCACCAGGATCAGTAACCACCAGGGCACCCCAGGGCACCCTAGACATGAAAGTGAAGGCGCTATTGTTTTTAAAAATAATTTATTTTATCTTTGTAGTTGTTATTGAAAATATACACAGCAGAACATATAGCAATTCAGCAGTTTCTACATGTGCAATTCAGTGACATGGATTACATTCTTCAAGTTGTGAAACCATTCTCACCCTCCTTTTCTGAGTTGTTCCTCCCTCGTTAACATAAACTCACTGTCCCCTAGGGTTCCTATCTAATTTTTCAACTGTTGTTTTCACTCTGATCCCGTATAGACAGACCTTAAAAGAGAACAACGCTCAAGCGAAGGAGCATCTTGTAGAAGGTGCTTAGAGCAGAGAGACACATTCAGTAGGGGATGGAGATGGGGGGGGTATTGATGACATGTGACCCTTCCACCTCCCTTGGGGGACGGTCGGAGGCCCTCCTCCCCATGTCTGGAACTGCCATGCCATTTTCCCCCCAGGTGGTGAACCAGATGCTAGAGCGGACCAGCAGCGGCAGCTTCGGGGGCAATGAGGGCTTTGTCTACCTGACTCTGCCATCCCTACCACTGGGGGGAGTTGGTGAGTCCCCGCCCTCCTCCACCCATCCAGCCCCCCGCCCCTTGGAGCTTGGGTGTGGCACCCCAGGCCCAGGAGGTCTCATTTTGCCTCCGCATACTGTTCAACCTTGATCTAGATCTTGGGCTCTTGAGGCCTCAGTTTCCCTGACTGTAAAATGGCTGTTAGAATGGCCCTCTCTCTCCAAGGTCCCTGCCACCTGTGGGCTTCTGGCTTGGGCTAGGGGCTGCTGCTGAGGCTGGCATGGGGGCCTGGGTGGGCTGCTAACTCCGGCCCTCAGCAATGGTGTCCACGCAGGCCACAGTGGGATGGGCAGGTACCACGGCCAGTTCTCCTTCGACGCCTTCTCCCGCCACCGTGCCTGCCTGCTCTCAAATGCAGGCCTGGAGAAGCTCAATGAGGTCCACTACCCACCCTATTCTACCTGGAGACAGCAGTTCATCACCCGGGCCCTGGGCTCCCAGAGCTGCACCCTTCTGTGACTGCCCACCTGCCTCCAGCAGCCTGCCTCTACACGACTCCTCCATCCTGCTGCTTGTGGCTGCCTGGCCCTGACCTACTCTGGGCTGCCAGGACCTCCTTATGGGTCCCTGAGAGACAGGTCTCCTGCCCAGTAGAATAAACATCCCACTCCTTGGCTTTGTCTGAACGGACCCCCTGCTGGGCAAGACCTCTGGGTGGCTGGTCCAGCCCCGTTCAGAACCAAAGTCCTCTCTGCAGCCTCCTGACAGATTCATTGACCCTCTACTTGGATATGCCTGGTGACAGGGAACTCACCCCTGCAATGCTGGGCAGCTCCTGTGGTTAGAAAGGACTCCCTTGTGTCATATCTGTAAGTAAGCCCCCAAAGACAGAGAAATTTCTACCTAACAGCTCGCTTCACACCTGGTTTGGGGAACTGGGGATGTCTTATCTAAAAGGATCTAGCCAATTGGTAGTGTCTGCCTCAAGTGCGTCATTGACAAAGATTCTGATGCTGTGTGTGGAATCAATAGGAAGGAGGACAATGATTGATTGGTGATGTCTGCTATGGGCACACGAAGGGGTGTGTGTGTGCACATGTTGACCACATCTATCATCCCTGCTCTAGACTCCCGGGGGGAGATGAGGCCTGACAGGATCCAAGCCTGGCCTCCTCATCTGACAGATGGGGAGCTTGGGGTCTAGAAACAGGACAGGGCTTCTGTTAGTCATCTAGTGCTGCTGTATCAGAAATACCTCAAGTGGATGGCTTTAACAAAGAGAAATTTATTCTCTCACAGTCCAGTAGGCTAGAAGTCCAAATTCAGGGTGCCAGCTCCAGGGGAAGGCTTTCTCTCTCTGTTGGCTCTGGGGGCAGGTCCTTGTTATCAGTCTGCCCCTGATCTAGGAGCTTCTTAGCACAAGGACCCTGGGTCCAAAGGATACACTCTGCTCCTAGCACTTCTTTCTTGGTGGTATGAGGTTCCTCTCCTCTCTGCTCGCTTCTCTCTCCTTTTACCTCTTGTAAGATAAAAGGTGATGCAGGCCACAGCCTAGGGAAACTTCCTTTACATTGGATTATGGTTGTGACCTTAGTAAGGGTGTTGCATCCACCTTAATCCTCTTTAACATAACCTAATCTTGCCTCATTAACCACAGGCAGAGATTAGGATTTTCAATACATAGGGAAGTTACATCGGATCACAAAATGGAGGACAAGCACACAGTACTGGGAATCATGGCCTAGCCAAGTTGACACACATTTTTGGGGAACACATTTCAGTCCATAACAGGGCTGAACTGAGTGTATACAGCAAAGCAGGGGCAGAGGAGCTAAGTGATGGTGGACTTTCCTGAAGTCTGCGGTGGGGGATCAGAAGACCGCACAGCTGATTCATGATGACCAGCCTCTTTCCCTAGACCTCACCCTGGAAGCCTGCTCCCAATCCCCCCACTCTTACTTCAGTGGGTTCCTCACCCCTCAGAGGCATGGGGGAACTGGGAAAGTGGTCCGAGGTTGAGGGAGCAGGGAGAAGTATGGTCCTCCCGTGCCCCTGGGAACTGTTGGGGATCTGTGGCTCCAAAGGGTACAAGGTGGACTCAGAGGAGGTGATTAACAGGGGCTTGTTGATGAGTGAATAACTGAGAGAATGGATGGATGGATGGATAGATAAAATAGGTGGATGGATGGATGCATGGGAGAGTGGATGGGTGAGTGGATGGATGGATAGGTAGATGGATAGATGGATGAATACGTGGGCTGATCTAAGAGAGAATGGGTGGGTGGGTACATGGGTAAGTCAGTAGGTGGTGAATGTATGAATGAGAGAAAGGGTAGTTGGATGAGTGGGTGGATTGATGGGTGGGTAGGAGGCCAGGTAGAACCTGAGTGATCAGTGGGCCTGTGTTTAAGGGATCTTCTCTCTCTCCATGCCTGCCCTGGGAAGTGGGTGCATCAAAATAACCATTGGACTGAAAAGAAAGAGTCAGAGGAGTTGAGAAAGAATCAGAAGGTCTCTGGGCCACAGTTTGGTCAGTGGGCCCAATGAGCAAGCGACAGAAGAGACAGCTCATTGAAGACACTTCGGGTAGTAAACTGCCCTTGTCACACCCAATCTTGTTCCTTTTGCCCTCTTAGCCATTGGCCATTGGTTCAGATAGGGAACAAAGCTTCCAAGGAAAATGTAGATCCAGAGGGCCACCTAGGGTGAAGGAGCAGTCCCACAATGGCCCCTTGACAGTACCCACAGTCAATAGGGCCTTTCCCCCACTCTCACTTGGGCCCCATACATACACCTCTCTCTTCTCCTACTCTTAGGCAGTTAGTGCAAGGGGTCAAGGGCACAGGGTCTGGACTCAGACAGACTTGAGTTTGAATCCTGGCTCTGCATATACAGGCTGTGTGAACTTGGGCAGGGTGTTAGTCCTTTCTGAGCCTCAGCTGTGGATGAGGACTGTTGATAAGACCATCTTCACAGGGATCTGGTGAGAATTAGATGACATGGTGCCTGCTGAGCCTCCTGCACAGCCTTCGGGTGTTTATTCTTCCCCACCCCTAAAATAACTTAATTGTTTCTTTGCCAGAGCCCACCACTTTCCAGCAGCATTTTTTCCTTCCCCAGGTGCTGTCTGAGTCTTTTGAGGGGCAGAATCAGTTTCTGAAGACCAGAGAGGCTGAGCTGATCTACACAATAGTGACTGGGTGGGGGATGGAGGAGAGGGGCAAGGGAACTGTTGAGGAGAGGAAAGGAGCTGGCTGGAAGGATCAGAATCACTTTCAGTTGTTAACCATTGTCATAAGTAAGGCAATATGTGTACTAACTGTTTAATGAGAAACTATTTGTTCTGCAAACCTTCATTTAAGGTA